GAGGGTATTGTTACACCCCTAGTAGTTCCTAATATAGTCGAATGTCTAAAGTGGGCCATCTAACGATGCATGAGCTTTGTGACCTCCAGAGTTCACTGTCTTCAGTGTGAGAAGCCTCTCCCACAGACTACTCATGTAGAGCAGCTCCTCTCACAGGTGTGTGTGTTTCACATGATGCACCTGGAACACACAAACAATACACAGTCAAAATCAATCCTCCGTCCTAACTGCTGTTCTCAGATCACTAGGAATATTGTGTTTGCTCACACAGATCTCCTGAGGTCTGACTACAGCACTTATCGACACCACACAGCTTAAATAGTGTTATGAATGCTAGATAATTATAGAATTTGAAAATATTTACTTATACAAGATAGTGATGCAAACAAACATAATAACAGAACGTTCTGGCAAGAAGGTTCTCTCAAAGTTATGAACAAACGTTTTTTCCAGTAACAGAGGGTTTGTTAAGAGTCTGGTGGTTGGTAAAACTTGTTTAAAATGTAAAATGTTCCAATAAAGTTTGTAAAGTGATCAAGAATTAAGTTCTATTAAACGTTTTAAACAACTGGACGCTGTTCAGGGAACATTCAGAAATAACGTTTTCATATTTTAATGGGAATGCTAGCAAAACTTATTAGAATTATTTAATGTAATTTATTTATTTAGTTATCTAGAAAGAAAAACAAAGGTGTAACAACTGTATAATAAAAAAACATAAATGTATCTTTATGACGATTAAGTTTTTTTTGAGAGTTAGGTTTTTGGTTATGAGTAAACACATGTCGTTTTAATTACCGTAATCAAAATCAAGTTAAACTCGGTACAAATAAATACTAGAGTGAGATACTAAGTTTTCAAATTGACTTCAATGTCATGTAAATAATAATGATGAAATCATATTCAAATATATTTCTTCGCGGTGAAATACCTGTGTCCGTTTTGAATGAGATTCGCCCAAACACACACCAGTCTAAGATGAGTAAAAGACTTTTAAGAGGGATAGAAAAAAACTTTAACATACCAAAACATCCTGAAACATCTGACCAGAGCAAGTTAAACGAATAAACCGAGTGTCATTCCAGTTGTTTCTGTACGCTGAGAGTGAATGTGCTTTAAATAAGTCTGTGCGCGTGAACTGGCTCATGATTGGGTTCTACGGGAGCGCGCGCTCGTGATAACGAACACCGACTCCTCATTTTCTAAGCAAACGTTTCCAAGACTTTAATAATTGATAAACACTAGGCGGGGTTTGGCAGGGAAATGTTTGTGTTTTTATCAGAGTAAATCTGTGTACTGTCAGTAATGTTTACTTTGTTGTAAACAACATTAATGTAGATGTCGCTCCCTCTTGTGGCAGAAGCCTTATAATTGTTTGTGAACAAATTATTTTAAATTATTACGTGAAATTATATTACAATTAATAATTCTCATGGACGCATGTAAATGTAAATCTCATATCCATGTTATTTTATTTACCCCCCCCCCCCCCCCCCCCAAAAAAAAAAATAAATTGAATAAAACGGTGAATAAATATTAAATTATATTTTGCATAGTGATGTCAAATTGATTAAACTGCTTACTTTATTAAATTTCTTTAACTGGAAAACTACTGTCAGACCAACCTGACACAGTTTGTTTAATTTTTATCTGTTACATTGTATTTATTTGTGTTTTTGATTGTAATTTGATAGCTATTTTATTACTGACTATTTACTTGACTTTTAATGTTTAAATGTATATTAGTTGTGGTAGAAGTTTTAGCTATGGTATCAAAATTGGAAGATACAATTGTGAATTTTCTCTGGTATCTCTAAAATGTTGGTGTCGTATCTGCTTGTTTTCGGCAAACTTGCATGGCCAGTAAAAAAATATATATTTTTTTTAATATTTATTATTATATTTAATATTTTTTGTGTCAAAAGCCCTGGTTTTACCAGGGACATCCGAGAAAAGATGCAGGAAAATGAAAATATTTGATTTCAGTCATGTTCATGTAAGAAATAGTCTAATATTAATCTATCCAACTGTCCAGTCTTGCTTATACAGATGCTTTTTATGAAACAATCATGACTATATTATGCAAACAAAAGAGTCCACTATCAGAGAACAGATGTACAAGACAACATGTACAAAAATAACATAACATCTCTGACGGGTTATTTTGTAACGTACATCTGTTCTCATATAGTGGACTCTTGTTTGCATATATAGTCATGATTGTTAATGTTATTGTCATAAAATATCTAAAACTGTATAAGCAATGTAATGATTTAGTTTTGCTTTTATAAAATGAGCATGCATGGAATAAATCTGTAATACGATACATGAATCTTCCCAAGTTGATTTGTTGTTAGCTCAAAGATCATGCAGCTACTTTTTGTTTTCCGATTTGTTTTGTTTTACAGTACATCAAGTTTACATATGCAGAAAAGATATTAAAGTTCATTTAGTGTACAAGAATAAAAGATTACTTGTTAAATAAATAAATGAGCTTGAAATCATTACCTGTCCAGGAGCGGATGTCCACCAGTGATGTCTGTCAGTGTAACTCCGACACGAAACTGAGTTTGTTGATCTAGAAAACAACAGAAACACAAACTAATCAATAGAAGCGTCCCGTCATGTCTGTCGTCCTCGGGCTTTGCTCAAGGAAACACAAGAGTGACTGTCATACTGTCAGTGATATTTATCAGTAAAATCTGTGAGTATCAAATATGATCATCTGGATTTTGAAGGAGGTTTATTTGTTTATCTGTCAATCATCATTGTATTGCATAACATTGTTTTAAAACTAAAGAGCTTTGATCATGAAAAAATATTAGTAGATATAGTGACATTTATATGCATTTTATGTAAATATCCTTTATAAGGATCTCATTGATTTGCATTATAAGCTTCATAATTCCATATTACTTTTCGGCCATTAATAACAAAAAAAAAACAAAAAACAAAAAAACACTATCTGCACTGAATTACATGTTTTTGCTCAGTCAAAGTTGAGCTGTTTTCCCTCCATATTTTCACTATCCCAAATGTGTCAAATATGATGTTAAACATAAACATATATGCATATTTTATTCTATATTTGGTCTAAAGGGTCAATAATCTGTAATGTAAAAAAAATAATTGTAAATAATAAAATGTAATTGTAAAAAAAATAATTGATTGAACATGCATGGATTAATATGTCAGGGTTTACAGAGTTAATTCCATCACTGCATGAATCTAATGAACAAGACACAAGAGGACAGAAGTTACTTACAGGTGAGACGCGTGACATATTGGATTTTGTTGGTTTTATGTGACGTGACAATGTGCATAAATAAAACAATCTGCACGTGTTGTGACGTCTCGTCATCATCAAGCGTCGGCAGGTGAAATTAGCATAGTATGGAACGCGAACGGGGCCAATAGTCTTTAAACTAAACGCGTGAAATTTGACCGCGTAAACACGCACTGTTTGTCCGCGTTAACGCGGCCAATTTTTCCGTGTGTTTTTTTTTTTTTTTTTTGTACGCATAGACGCGCTAATTCTGGTCGTGTTAAGACGTCAGTTGTCGTCGCGTTGCATATTAAGACGACCAATTTGAACGTGTTATTTAACGCGCACATTCAGTACGTATTGAAGTGTAATATTTTTAAAAAGCAGACTTACATTTAGATGTCTACATATATTGATCTTTTAGTTTATTATGGTATTGCTTTACTGATTACTGTGCTAGAGAGTAAAGTAACGTTTACAATGCAGCCTATAGTAAGTGCTAATTAATCCATATTATACAATTATTATTCTTTATCTACAGTATATGGGTTTTTATTTGTTTTTGTTTTAAGTTATAATTTCCAAAAGTATTATAGGCTAACTTTCACAGCACATATTTATAACTAAATACACACACACACACACACACACACACACACACACACACACACACACACACACACACACACACACACACGTCTGCATAAGTTTATCCATGTTCACATAATAATGTTCACATACAGTTCAGAGCGCCAGAGGAAAACTCTGCACTAAACTCTGCACTTACTTTGCATTTATTTCACATTATTTAATAAATTATTAATTTAACGCGACAGTAACAAATCTAGAAAAATTCGCTTTTGTTTAGTGGAAATATATTCTTATATCTGTAATATCAATTTAAAGACTCTCGTCTAAACGCCCTCCTGTGGTGAGTTATGTGCATTACACTGCTGTTAGTTATTTCATTTCTGTTAAAAACCTTTTATTAAATTATTTGCATTGATTAAAATCATTTGATAGATAATTGAAAACATCTGGCAAACATGTAGTTTTAAAATGAAATATATTATTGGATGTATAACCCAAGGGAAAATTATGAAAAATTGATTGGATCATTCTCTGTGTATTGTACTGCCCCCGTTTTGTTAAAATAAACAAATATAATATAATATAATTTTAAAAAGTCTAATGATCGAACTGTGGTGAATTCATGTGAATTACAGTTTATTATTTATTTCTACCTATGATATGATTAAATTCTTGTTAAATTCTAGTCAGAGGAAAACTTTGCATTACATTATTTTACATTGATTTCATATTAAATAAATTTTTCGTTATCACATGAAACACATGACCCCTTTTATTTATGTATTTAGTAGTATAATTGTTGTTTAAATTTTAATTTAAAACGCCACCTTGTGGTAAAATGTGTGAATTACACCACTGCAACATTTTTTCTACAGCAATAACTCTAGAGGAAAACTAGTTTGATTAAGAATATTCTTTTAAAGCCTCGTTGATTCAGACGTTTTAATAACAGAAAAATGTATAAGCGCGCGAATAAATGGCCCACTGTCACAACATAATAAAATATGCAGCAAGAACATTTTAATGTTATTTTAAGTTATTTTGTGTTGAATATAGCAAAATATGGACTTTGATCCACGATGTATTTGTTGGCAAATGTTCCATGTAAAAAAAAACAAGACCTTTATTTTGAAGAACAGCTGAAATTCACTTCCGGTGTAGTCACTGTCTTCACTACCCCGTGCTTATTTACTTTCTCTGCAGTGATTAAATATGACTGTACGCGGAATTTACAAAGCGTCAAACCTTCTGAAGTCCAGCGGGGAGTTTTGGAGGATCTGGATGAGGAAGATGAGCGTCTTCCTCTCTGACCGTCAGAAAACAGCAGGATGGAATCAGGTGCGAACTTCTAGCGTGACCTCTGACCCGCACCGCTCGATATTATTTGTCTTATTAAGGCTAAAAAAGTTGTCACGTTTATAATACTCACTTTTTGTGTATTCAAAAAATTGAACAAAAATACACCCATTGTAATACACCGAAGAAAAAATGAATTAATTGCTAACGACAGAAAAAAAAATTCATAATAAATGAAGAAAACGAAAATAATATATATATATATATATATATTAGGGCTGTGCAAAAGTTAATTGCGATTAATCGCATCCAAAATAAAAGTCTGTGTTTACATAGTATATTTGTGTGTGCTGTATATAATTATTTTGTATATATAAATACACACACATGCATGTATATGTTTAAGAAAATGTGTTATTCCTATATAAAATATTTATATTTATATAATATAGATTATGTACTTTTATATATATACAGAATTTAAGCGCAAATAATTCTTAAATATATACATGCATGCATAGGTATTTATATATACATAATAATTATATACAGCACACTCAAATATATTATGTAAAACAGACTTTTATTTTGGATGCGATTAATCGCAATTAACTTTTGCACAGCCCTAATATATATATATATATATATATATATATATATATATTTTTTTTTTTTTTTTTTTTTTTACATCAATTAAAGTATACAAATCAAAGGCACTGCAAGTCGTTCTACATGCTTTCTTATTTACTGAAGATGAAATGGTGTCCAAATTCTTTTGAAATTCATTAAAAAAGGGTTGGTGAAGCAGATTCATAGTGCCCTAAAATAAGAGTTATGGTTACATTTGGTAGATATTATCATTAATAAATGTACCAATAGTCCACAGTTGTTCAGTATAACGACAGGCCCAAAATAAATAAAATACACCAAACGATAATAATGCACAAAGCAAAATTGCCAAAATAACCAAAAGCATTGACTTTAATTGATTGTAAGCACAAGTAAAACATCTGACAACTTTATTAGGGTTGAATATTGTGTGCTTTTGTGTGTTATTGAGGAGAATATTCATTTTTCCACTAAAGCTGAGCACTGTATATTATATTTCATCAGGTAAAAATATCTTGAATGGACTTCATTCCATAGTTTTAGAACTATAATAATTACTGTGAGGGAAAAAAGGTTTTCAGAGTACTGCATTAAACTACTGTATATAATGTTGAATATAATGTATTATAATGCATATTAGTGTGACCTGATAATGCCACATGTGTTGTTACCAGTAAAATTAGCCTATACATTATTGTAAATAAATGTACGCAGTGAAAGAGTGCAAGCATTCGTCTAAAATAATTATATTTTCAGCTTCAGGATCATGAATATTGTTATTCTGGTGTCTCTATTGTTCATTGGGTTTCAGCACCAAGTCCAAGTCCATTCATTCACACACACAATGTAATATCAAATTGACATTTTAATCAACAGGACATTTTTTTGTTCATCTTTTATCAAATGTCTTGGAGTATCGCTGTAATGTCGTTCAGTATCGTGACATGAGGGAATCGTTACACCCCTATGATTCAGGAATCAGTTGTTAGATTGAAGCATCAGAGCTGGTGTTTGTGTGTGTTTCAGGAGGATTATCCTGAACAACCCCAGGAAGAGGAACGCTCTGTCTCTGTCTATGCTGGAGTCTCTGAGAGAAAACCTCCTGACAGACTTACACACACCAGACCTGCGTGTCATCATCATATCAGGCAAAACATTCAGTCAATCTAGAGAAAGATGCGTTCATAAACACACACTAACTCTGTCTCTCTCTGCAGCACGGGGTCCTGTGTTTTCCTCGGGTCATGACCTTGGGGAGTTGACCTCTGCCCGGGGTCGCAAGCATCACATCAAGGTGTTCCAGACCTGCTCAGAGGTCAGAGGTCACTTACTGTACACAAGGTGCTTAAAGAACTTGAATTTGACTTGTTGAAATGTAAGTCCTGGAAAAGCCTTGAAAACAGCCAAATTTATGAGGAGTGCTTGAAAAGTGTTTGACTTATTTAAGTACAATATATATGAAATTACATGTTTTCGAAAGAACAAATACAATATATTCAGGCAAAATGATAAACCCCCTTCACAACTCCTCGATACGAAGTACACCAAGATTATAATATCAAATAATTATTAAAAAAAGAATAGCCATCATAAACGTTGTATTTAATATATATATATATATATATATATATATATATATATACATATTAAGACTATTAAATTGTACTTAAAGTTGTATTTTGGATACCTTATTTCTGTAATTTAAGTTTAAATAATCCTGATATTGTTTGATAAGTGTGATCTCTGATTATGGTCCTTGAAAACCAAAAAAGTAGAGCTTGAAAAGTCCTGGAATTTCTTTTTAGTTTCTATACGAGCCCTCAGAACAGAAGAGGGCCGTGTGTGTGTGTGTGTGTGTGTGTGTGTGTCACGTCAAATGCATTTCTTCCAAGATGTTTTCTGTCATTTTAGGTAGTTTATTTTTATCACAATGATTTAAGTTTAAATGTTTTTAAATAAGTTTGGTCTTAGTTAGTTATTTGATGCTATACAAACGGGAATGTGACGTCATGATTCCTTAAACTTTAATTTCTATTTCTTAATTGTATATTTCACACAGTAAACTTTGTACTAGCCGCTTCTGCGAGTGTGTGTGTGCGGGACCTTGATATATCAGCTCCACGCACACACACACACACACACACACACACACACTACTGCGCAGATGCAGGTCCTAAATCTTTCCACCATATTAGAGAGTGAAGTCCATCTTGTTTTACAGTATATGGTCAATGCATTTGAATAACTCTACCTTTCTCAAAGGTCATGACCCTGATTCAGGATCTCCCGGTGCCGGTCATCGCTATGGTGAACGGTGTTGCCACGGCGGCGGGTTGCCAGTTAGTGGCCAGCTGTGATATTGCTGTCCCCACAGATAAATCCACTTTCGCCACTCCTGGCATGAGCGTCGGGCTGTTCTGCTCCACGCCGGCAGTGTCCATCGGGCGAGCGCTGCCCAGAAAGGTGATGATATCTTAGTCTTCTTGGATGCAGGTTAAGGAACCACTGCCATTATTGGAGATTGAATGAGTTGTTGTTCTGGACACACTGGCGCCAGCAACCCAAATCTGTGACCTGGAAGGTCATGACGTGCCTCATCGATGGAGATATGTTTCGTCTATCTGTATATGTGTGGAAAATTACTGTGTTTATCTATTTCTTAGCCAATGAGAATCATTCAACGTGTAAGCAATGACGTAGCTTAGACCTTGAAAATAGTATAACTGCTGGTGATTGTTGTAACTGTAAGGGGGCGGCCTACGAACTCCTGAGTGAGTCTTGAAGCTGACTTCTGCTGATGAAATGGCAAACTATGTTCTGTAAAACTTTCTTTAAATTTTATAATTCTGACTCCGGGTCTTCATTCTTCATATCTGGTTCTGGGTCCTCTGACTGTTAACCCCTAACCCCTTTTTGTTTGGTATATCGAAACACAAAAATTCGACCCGGAAAAAAAAAACGACAGTGGTACCCCTTTCTTTTTTTGTTTTGTTTTTTTGGGTGAGAAATTAAGTTTCTCAAATCTTCTCAAAACTCTGGATTCTGATAGAGGGCCATGAGACTTAGACCTGAGTGCAAAAATGGAGGGTCTAGACCCTTCCAGAGCTGAGATATCGAAACTCAAAAATTCGGCCCCAAAAAAAAACGACAGTGGTACCCCTTACGTTTTTTTTTTTCGGGCGAAAAATTAAGTTTCTCCAATCTTCCCAAAACTCTGGATTCTGATAGAGGGCCATGAGACTTAGACCTGAGTGCAAAAATGGAGGCTCTAGCCCCTTCCAGAGCTGAGATATCGAAACTCATGGGCTAGAGTCTCCATTTTTGCACTCAGGTCTAAGTCTCATGGCCCTCTATCAGAATCCAGAGTTTTGGGAAGATTGGAGAAACTTAATTTTTCGCCTGAAAAATCCTTGTGCAGGAACATGTCTTTTAGGGTTACTGTTTTGTGAAGGAAGGTTTCATCTTAAAGTTATAACTCCACTTGGGCAGTTCTTTACAGTGTACATGTTTAGGCATGAAGTTTCAGCGCTCGCACTGAAGGCTTTATTTCTATTCAGTGTTTGTGTCCATTTGTAGCCTGTAAAACTGTAATTCAAATCATAGATTATTATTGGATACAGCCTTACTGAACTATACTATATTATTATAATAGTAATATATTTTCACACTGTACAACTTTAGGCTTTTAATTTATTCCATTTCCTTCTATTAACCAGTCTTTAGACTAACTTTCAAATTGTTAAACACATGTTCTGGGAAGGTAAGGGTGCGCTGAAGGTAAGGTTCAAATCCCAGCTCAGAAGATGTTTTCCCATCTTCTCATTTTTTTAAGTTATTCTTTGTATCAACTGTATCAGTGTGCGTGTTGTGTCCTATCGTCTGTCTATATAAATATACATGCAAAAAAAGCCAGATCTAAAAGTATTTTCGCCCTGCTGTGGTGATTTGTGTGAATTACACTATTGCAAATCAAGTCTAATAAACATAAGAGTGTCGCCCTCCTGTGTTGATTTGTGTGAATTACACCGTTGTAAATCAAGTCTAATAAACATACGAGTGTCGCCCTCCTGTGGTGATTTGTGTGAATTACACTATTGCAAATCAAGTCAAATAAACATAAGAGTGTCGCCCTCCTGTGGTGATTTGTGTGAATTACACTATTGCAAATCAAGTCTAATAAACATAAGAGTGTCGCCCTCCTGTGGTGATTTGTGTGAATTACACCATTGCAAATCGAGTCTAAAAAACATAAGTGGTGTGCCCTCCTGTGGTGATTTGTGTGAATTACATATAGAGAGTAAAAGAAAAGTGGTGATTTGTGTGAATCACACCGTTGCAAACCGAGTCCGATCGAATCTAAAAAACATAAGTGTTTCGCCCTCCTGTGGTGATTTGTTTGAATTACACCGCTGCAAATTTCTTCTGTCTTCTCTGTTCTGTCCTTATGTTAAAATACATACATACATAACGTTACACACACACACACACACACACATATATATATATATATATATATATATATATATATATATATATATATATAAATACAAAAAAACCAGACTTTCTCATTCAAAGGAAATCATTATTTTCTGCACCACAGAGCTTGTCAAACATGTTGCTGCTGCAATTTTACAGGAACTTTAATACAAAGTCTCAGATGTGATCTCGCCACTGTAACCCGACGAGAGTAAAGTGCAGTTTTCCTCCGCTCCTCAAGGCGGCAGAAGCGGGTTCTCCTTCAGTCTGACGCTTCTGCTGCTTGACAACATGACACTTGATGACAATCACAACAACGCGAGCAGATCCTGCAGATGGGAAGATGACAGCTCTTAATGTCACTTTAACAGCACATATTACAGCTCAACCGCAAATAAAACCGACGCAATCAAACGACACATAAATGAGGAACCGAGTACGGCACAAGACTCACCTGTAAGTAACTTTTACTTTAGCATGAAGTCAAGTTCTCTTGTCAGTCGCTATTGTAGCGTTACCTTTTTAATCTTTGAATGAATCGCCCTCTGATATTCACACTGTAAAGTGTAATAAGAAGGACTCAGTTGATATTGCAGTGTTTTCTGGGTGTATGTGAGAGTCAGCAGGAGTTGTGTCTTGTGTGAAGCTCTGATGTTCTCCTGTTGCTTCCTGCTTTTATTCTACTTCCTGTTATGACTGGGATCTGAGAGTGAAAACTGCCTTTAGAATGGTATGCAATTAAAATGTCACAGTATTACTACAAGCATGAAACAATACAAGTAAAGAGCAGTGACTAGACACTTTGCAATTGGTTTTCTTTGCATAGCATTTCTAATATTGTTCTGATGTTTTGTAGGTTTGGCTTTCTGTGAATGGGGAGTTAGTTTTTAGTTCTGTGTGTTCAGTGTTTTTATAATTGTGTGTGGCCTGTAAGACGGTGATTAAGTTGAATCTCTAGTTGTTGTTACATGTATAAGATTCAAATGAATCGTCCTCTGATTTATGTGTAGTGAAGTAGAATAATAAGCGATTGTTTCTAGTCTCTTTTGTTATTAGTTGTCTTACTTTATGTAATAATAATCTAGTGGATTGATGCGTGTTAATAGAATCAGTTGATGTGTGTGTGTGTGTGTGTGTGTGTGAAGTGTGTGTGTGTGTGTGAAGTGTGTGTCTGCTGCTTGTATTGTATCGTAGAGATGCAGTGCCTTTCTTCTAATGAAAACTGTCAGGATCAATCCTTGTGCAGGAACATGTCTTTTAGGGTTACTGTTGTGTGAAGGAAGGTTTCATCTTAAAGTTATAACTCCACTTGGGCAGTTCTTTACAGTGTACATGTTTAAGCATCAAGAGTCAGCGCTCGCACCAAAGGCTTTATTTCTATTCAGTGTTTGTGTCCATTTGTAGCCTGTAAAACTGTAATTCAAATCATAGATTATTATTGATACAGCCTTACTGAACTATACTATATTATTATAATAGTAATATATTTTCACACTGTACAACTTTAGGCTTTTAATTTATTCCATTTCGTTTTATTAACTAGTCTTTAGACTAACTTTCACATTCTCATTTATAGATGTAGAGTATTGAGTATTTCTAAAACTAATCTTTTTTTTCTTGTCTTTCCTTACAGAAGGAATGTGTTTGGACCATTACATCCAGTCATCAGAAGCAGAGCTGTGGGACGTGTGGACAGACATTGACTGTAATGATGGACGTCTGCTGATGGACAGGTAATGTAAATGCTTGTTTTACTGTACTAAACATGTAGGTTCCCATCATTTTCTTTTTGAAGGGCCTCCCCCTTTGAAAAGCAAATGATGGGAACCTAAGCGGGTGGGGGAGGGACGAGGAGGCGAAATTTTTATATTAAAAAAATATTTTTTTTTCCTTGTTTCCAAAAATCATAACCCCTGCTGCTGACTGTCCCGGAAGCTCCGGGGGGAGACCGTACTGGTATCCCCCTCCTTTGGGCGCGCCACTCACACAACATCCACTCCTATCGCGGAGATCTGGCTGGGATCAAACCAGCAACCTCTGAACCCGTGAGGCAGCGCTCTTACCTGTGAGCCACAGATCTCTTGCTGATACATGTGCTGGAACTTATATTTCAGTGTTATCCTGAGAGTTTCCAATAAAGCAGTTAAAGTGAGATTCGAACCCACGTCTTCATCAGTCGTGTCCTCAGAGAGTGTGTGTTTATCCGCTCGCCCATCATGGATTTCACGTTGACAGCTGGTTTTGGGGCCCCTTGTCTAATGAGAACTATTGAAAGTCAGCAATAGTGGGACTTGAACTCAGGACGCTGTGATCGAAACACAACTCTTTCTCTCCTGAGCCACTGAGACTGCTGAGATGAAGAGCATTTTCAACCGGTTTGATCCAGAGTTGTGTGTTAAATGATGAATAACTTCAACAAACATGGATCTGAAACCTGGGATTTGAACCAGGACTGTCTGGTTGGTGAGGTTGACAACTATCCACTGAGCCGCAGAGACTGTGAATCAATGATGTTGTTTTAGATTTCAAGTTTAAAGTTCTTAGCGTATGTAAAAGATTATTGTCATTGATTAATAATTCATTGACTACTCAGATCTATTCTTTATAAAATGATTTTATTTTTAAGTTATTCTTTGTATCAACTGTATCAGTGTGCGTGTTGTGTCCTATCGTCTGTCTATATAAATATACATGCAAAAAAGTCAGATCTAAAATTATTTTTGCCCTGCTGTGGTGATTTGTGTGAATTACACTATTGCAAATCAAGTCTAATAAACATAAGAGTGTCGCCCTCCTGTGGTGATTTGTGTGAATTACACCGCTGCAAATCAAGTCTAAAAAACATAAGTGGTGTGCCCTCCTGTGGTGATTTGTGTGAATTACACCGCTGCAAATCGAGTCTAAAAAACATAAGTGGTGTGCCCTCCTGTGGTGATTTGTGTGAATTACATATAGAGAGTAAAAGAAAAGTGGTGATTGTGTGAATCACACCGTTGCAAACCGAGTCCGATCGAATCTAAAAAACATAAGTGTTTCGCCCTCCTGTGGTGATTTGTGTGAATTACACCGCTGCAAATTTCTTTTGTCTTCTCTGTTCTGTCCTTATGTTAAAATACATACATACATAACGTTACACACACACACACACACACACACACACATATATATATACAAAAAACTAGACTTTCTCATTCAAAGGAAATCATTATTTTCTGCACCACAGAGCTTGTCAAACATGTTGCTGCTGTAATTTCACAGGAACTTTAATCCAAAGTCTCAGATGTGATCCGACGAGAGTAAAGTGCAGTTTTCCTCCGCTCCTCAAGGCGGCAGAAGCGGGTTCTCCTTCAGTCTGACGCTTCTGCTGCTTGACAACATGACACTTGATGACAATCACAACAACGCGAGCAGATACTGCAGATGGGAAGATGACAGCTCTTAATGTCACTTTAACAGCACATATTACAGCTCAACCGCAAATAAAACCGACGCAATCAAACGACACATAAATGAGGAACCGAGTACGGCACAAGACTCACCTGTAAGTAACTTTTACTTTAGCATGAAGTCAAGTTCTCTTGTCAGTCGCTATTGTAGCGTTACCTTTTTAATCTTTGAATGAATCGCCCTCTGATATTCACACTGTAAAGTGTAATAAGAAGGACTCAGTTGATATTGCAGTGTTTTCTGGGTGTATGTGAGAGTCAGCAGGAGTTGTGTCTTGTGTGAAGCTCTGATGTTCTCCTGTTGCTTCCTGCTTTTATTCTACTTCCTGTTATGACTGGGATCTGAGAGTGAAAACTGCCTTTAGAATGGTATGCAATTAAAATGTCACAGTATTACTACAAGCATGAAACAATACAAGTAAAGAGCAGTGACTAGACACTTTGCAATTGGTTTTCTTTGCATAGCATTTCTAATATTGTTCTGATGTTTTGTAGGTTTGGCTTTCTGTGAATGGGGAGTTAGTTTTTAGTTCTGTGTGTTCAGTGTTTTTATAATTGTGTGTGGCCTGTAAGACAGTGATTAAGTTGAATCTCTAGTTGTTGTTACATGTATAAGATTCAAATGAATCGTCCTCTGATTTATGTGTAGTGAAGTAGAATAATAAGCAATTGTTTCTAGTCTCTTTTGTTATTAGTTGTCTTACTTTATGTAATAATAATCTAGTGGATTGATGCGTGTTAATAGAATCAGTTGATGTGTGTGTGTGTGTGTGTGTGTCTGTCTGCTGCTGCTTGTATTGTATCGTAGAGATGCAGTGCCTTTCTTCTAATGAAAACTGTCAGGATCAATCCTTGTGCAGGAACATGTCTTTTAGGGTTACTGTTGTGTGAAGGAAGGTTTCATCTTAAAGTTATAACTCCACTTGGGCAGTTCTTTACAGTGTACATGTTTAAGCATGAAGTGTCAGCGCTCGCACCGAAGGCTTTATTTCTATTCAGTGTTTGTGTCCATTTGTAGCCTGTAAAACTGTAATTCAAATCATAGATTATTATTGATACAGCCTTACTGAACTGTACTATATTATTATAATAGTAATATATTTTCACACTGTACAACTTTAGGCTTTTAATTTATTCCATTTCCTTTTATTAACTAGTCTTTAGACTAACTTTCACATTGTCATTTATAGATGTAGAATATTGAGTATTTCTAAAACTAATCTTTTTTTTCTTGTCTTTCCTTACAGAAGGAATGTGTTTGGACCATTACATCCAGTCATCAGAAGCAGAGCTGTGGGACGTGTGGACAGACATTGACTGTAATGATGGACTTCTGCTGATGGACAGGTATGTACATGCTTATGTTTTACTGTACTAAACATGTAGGTTCCCATCATTTTCTTTTTGGAGGGTGACCCCTTTAAAAAGCAAATGATGGGAACCTAAATAGGTGGGGAAGGGACGGCGGGGCAAAATTTTTAGACAGCTAAATTTTTATTGTATAAAAAAGCATAACCCCTGCTGTCCATTGTGGCGGGGCTCGGGGGGGGACCCGAATCATCCCCGCCCCTTCACACATACAGCATTCTCTCGTATCGCGGAGATCTGGCTGGGATCGAACCAGCAACCTCTGAACCCGTGAGGCAGCGCTCTTACCTGTGAGCCACAGATCTCTTGCTGATACATGTGCTGGAACTTATATTTCACTCTTCGAGCCCTGCGATTTTACAATAAATCATGCTGAGGTGGGGATCGAACCCACGTCTCCAGTGAAACCCATCAGCCGAGATCGTGTGTTGAGCCACTGCACCACTGTGGCTTTCACACTGAGATCTGGTGTTTTGGCCACTTTGTTTGATTTCATCACATCAATTTTGCGCTCAATTCTCATTTACTAAAGGAAAGCCTTTGTGCTTAACTGTTCACACACTCATATCGCAGAGACCCGGCTGGGATCGAACCAGCAACCTCTGAACCCGTGAGGCAGCGCTCTTACCTGTGAGCCACAAATCTCTTGCTGAGACATGTGCTGGAACTTGTATTTCAGTGTTATCCTGAGAGTTTCCAATAAAGCAGTTAAAGTGAGATTTGAACCCAATAGCTTAGCTGGGATTTGAACCTTAACCTCAGCGCACCCTTACCTTCACAGAACATGTGTTTAACCACTGCACCACTGTGGTTTTCACTCTGAGAGCTGGTGTTTTGTCCACTTTGTTTGATAAAACAACTATTGATAACAATTTTATTTAAATTACTGGGACCAAAAATGCTGAGATGGGATTTGAACCTTAACCTCAGCGCATCCTTACCGTTACAGAACATGTGTTTAACCACTGCACCACTGTGGTTTTCACTCTGAGAGTTGGTGTTTTGGCCACTTTGTTTGGTAAAACAACTATTGATAACAATTTTATTTAAATTATTGGGACCAAAAATGCTGAGATGGGATTTGAACCTTAACCTCAGCGCATCCTTACCTTCACAGAACATGTGTTTAACCACTGCACCACTGTGGCTTTCACGCTTAGAGTTGGTGTTTTGGCCACTTTGTTTGATAAAACAACTATTGATAACAATTTTATTTAAATTATTGGGACCAAAAATGCTGAGATGGGATTTGAACCTTAACCTCAGCGCATCCTTACCTTCACAGAACATGTGTTTAACCACTGCACCACTGTGGCTTTCACGCTGAGAGTTGGTGTTTTGGCCACTTTGTTTGATAAAACAACTATTGATAACAATTTTATTTAAATTATTGGGACCAAAAATGCTGAGATGGGATTTGAACCTTAACCTCAGCGCATCCTTACCTTCACAGAACATGTGTTTAACCACTGAACCACTGCGGCTTTCGCTTTGAGAGTTGGTGTTTTGGCCACTTTGTTTGATAAAACAACTATTGATAACAATTTTATTTAAATTACTGGGACCAAAAATGCTGAGATGGGATTTGAACCTTAACCTCAGCGCATCCTTACCTTCACAGAACATGTGTTTAACCACTGAACCACTGCGGCTTTCGCTTTGAGAGTTGGTGTTTTGGCCACTTTGTTTGATAAAACAACTATTGATAACAATTTTATTTAAATTACTGGGACCAAAAATGCTGAGATGGGATTTGAACCTTAACCTCAGCGCATCCTTACCTTCACAGAACATGTGTTTAACCACTGCACCACTGTGGCTTTCACGCTTAGAGTTGGTGTTTTGGCCACTTTGTTTGATAAAACAACTATTGATAACAATTTTATTTAAATTATTGGGACCAAAAATGCTGAGATGGGATTTGAACCTTAACCTCAGCGCATCCTTACCTTCACAGAACATGTGTTTAACCACTGAACCACTGCGGCTTTCGCTTTGAGAGTTGGTGTTTTGGCCACTTTGTTTGATAAAACAACTATTGATAACAATTTTATTTAAATTACTGGGACCAAAAATGCTGAGATGGGATTTGAACCTTAACCTCAGCGCATCCTTACCTTCACAGAACATGTGTTTAACCACTGCACCACTGTGGCTTTCACGCTGAGAGTTGGTGTTTTGGCCACTTTGTTTGATAAAACAACTATTGATAACAATTTTATTTAAATTATTGGGACCAAAATAGCTTAGCTGGGATTTGAACCTTAACCTCAGCGCATCCTTACCTTCACAGAACATGTTTTTAACCACTGCACATCTAAACGTAGGAAGAAGTAGGAACAGAACCGGCAACCACTCGCTTCAGAGCCGGTATTGCTACCACTGAGCCACTAAAGACGACACTGTGTAGATATCTATGCTGCATACGCCCCCATCAGTAGTGCATAGATATATGCAGCATAGATATAGAACAGTGCTATATCTATGCTGCATATATCTATGCATGATATGTATATATCATGTATATATCTATGCTGCATATGTCTATACACTAATGACGCTGGAACCTGGGGGCGCCAAGTCCCCGAATTCTCCGCGAATTCCCCGCGAATTCTCCGGACTTGGCGCCCCCCTCATTAGTGCATAGATATATGCATCATAGATATAGCACTGTTCTATATCTATGCTGCATATATCTATGCACTACTGATCTATGCACTACTGACCAAAACACCAACTCTCAAAGCGAAAGCCGCAGTGGTTCAGTGGTAAAACACATGTTCTGTGAAGGTAAGGATGCGCTGAGGTTAAGGTTCAAATCCCATCTCAGCATTTTTGGTCCCCATAATTTAAATAAAATTGTTATCAATAGTTGTTATATCAAACAAAGTGGCCAAAACACAAACTCTCAGCATGAAAGCCACAGTGGTGCAGTGGTTAAACACATGTTCTGTGAAGGTAAGGATGCGCTGAGGTTAAGGTTCAAATCCCATCTCAGCATTTTTGGTCCCAGTAATTTAAATAAAATTGTTATCAATAGTTGTTTTACCAAACAAAGTGGCCAAAACACCAACTCTCAGTGTGAAAGCCACAGTGGTGCAGTGGTTAAACACATGTTCTGTGAAGGTAAGGATGCGCTGAGGTTAAGGTTCAAATCCCATCTCAGCATTTTTGGTCCCAGTAATTTAAATAAAATTGTTATCAATAGTTGTTTTATCAAACAAAGTGGCCAAAACACCAACTCTCAAAGCGAAAGCCGCAGTGGTTCAGTGGTTAAACACATGTTCTGTGAAGATAAGGATGCGCTGAGGTTAAGGTTCAAATCCCATCTCAGCATTTTTGGTCCCAGTAATTTAAATAAAATTGTTATCAATAGTTGTTTTACCAAACAAAGTGGCCAAAACACCAACTCTCAGCGTGAAAGCCACAGTGGTGCAGTGGTTAAACACATGTTCTGTGAAGGTAAGGATGCGCTGAGGTTAAGGTTCAAATCCCATCTCAGCATTTTTGGTCCCAGTAATTTAAATAAAATTGTTATCAATAGTTGTTTTACCAAACAAAGTGGCCAAAACACCAACTCTCAGTGTGAAAGCCACAGTGGTGCAGTGGTTAAACACATGTTCTGTGAAGGTAAGGATGCGCTGAGGTTAAGGTTCAAATCCCATCTCAGCATTTTTGGTCCCAGTAATTTAAATAAAATTGTTATCAATAGTTGTTTTATCAAACAAAGTGGACAAAACACCAACACTCAGCGTGAAAGCCACAGTGGTTCAGCGGTTAAATACATGTTCTGTGAAGGTAAGGATGCGCTGAGGTTAAGGTTCAAATCCCATCTCAGCATTTTTGGTCCCCATAATTTAAATAAAATTGTTATCAATAGTTGTTTTACCAAACAAAGTGGCCAAAACACCAACTCTCAGCATGAAAGCCACAGTGGTGCAGTGGTTAAACACATGTTCTGTGAAGGTAAGGATGCGCTGAGGTTAAGGTTCAAATCCCATCTCAGCATTTTTGGTCCCAGTAATTTAAATAAAATTGTTATCAATAGTTGTTTTATCAAACAAAGTGGCCAAAACACCAACTCTCAGCGTGAAAGCCACAGTGGTGCAGTGGTTAAACACATGTTCTGTGAAGGTAAGGATGCGCTGAGGTTAAGGTTCAAATCCCATCTCAGCATTTTTGGTCCCAGTAATTTAAATAAAATTGTTATCAATAGTTGTTTTATCAAACAAAGTGGACAAAACACCAACACTCAGCGTGAAAGCCACAGTGGTGCAGTGGTTAAACACATGTTCTGTGAAGGTAAGGATGCGCTGAGGTTAAGGTTCAAATCCCATCTCAGCATTTTTGGTCCCCATAATTTAAATAAAATTGTTATCAATAGTTGTTATATCAAACAAAGTGGACAAAACACCAGCTCTCAGAGTGAAAACCACAGTGGTGCAGTGGTTAAATACATGTTCTGTGAAGGTAAGGGTGCGCTGAAGTTAAGGTTCAAATCCCAGCTAAGCTATTGGGTTCAAATCTCACTTTAACTGCTTTATTGGAAACTCTCAGGATAACACTGAAATACAAGTTCCAGCACATGTCTCAGCAAGAGATTTGTGGCTCACAGGTAAGAGCGCTGCCTCACGGGTTCAGAGGTTGCTGGTTCGATCCCAGCCGGGTCTCTGCGATATGAGTGTGTGAACAGTTAAGCACAAAGGCTTTCCTTTAGTAAATGAGAATTGAGCGCAAAATTGATGTGATGAAATCAAACAAAGTGGCCAAAACACCAGATCTCAGTGTGAAAGCCACAGTGGTGCAGTGGCTCAACACACGATCTCGGCTGATGGGTTGCACTGGAGACGTGGGTTCGATCCCCACCTCAGCATGATTTATTGTAAAATCGCAGGGCTCGAAGAGTGAAATATAAGTTCCAGCACATGTATCAGCAAGAGATCTGTGGCTCACAGGTAAGAGCGCTGCCTCACGGGTTCAGAGGTTGCTGGTTCGATCCCAGCCAGATCTCCGCGATACGAGAGAATGCTGTATGTGTGAAGGGGCGGGGATGATTCGGGTCCCCCCCCGAGCCCCGCCACAATGGACAGCAGGGGTTATGCTTTTTTATACAATAAAAATTTAGCTGTCTAAAAATTTTGCCCCGCCGTCCCTTCCCCACCTATTTAGGTTCCCATCATTTGCTTTTTAAAGGGGTCACCCTCCAAAAAGAAAATGATGGGAACCTACATGTTTAGTACAGTAAAACATAAGCATGTACATACCTGTCCATCAGCAGAAGTCCATCATTACAGTCAATGTCTGTCCACACGTCCCACAGCTCTGCTTCTGATGACTGGATGTAATGGTCCAAACACATTCCTTCTGTAAGGAAAGACAAGAAAAAAAAGATTAGTTTTAGAAATACTCAATATTCTACATCTATAAATGACAATGTGAAAGTTAGTCTAAAGACTAGTTAATAAAAGGAAATGGAATAAATTAAAAGCCTAAAGTTGTACAGTGTGAAAATATATTACTATTATAATAATATAGTACAGTTCAGTAAGGCTTTATCAATAATAATCTATGATTTGAATTACAGTTTTACAGGCTACAAATGGACACAAACACTGAATAGAAATAAAGCCTTCGGTGCGAGCGCTGACGCTTGATGCTTAAACATGTACACTGTAAAGAACTGCCCAAGTGGAGTTATAACTTTAAGATGAAACCTTCCTTCACACAACAGTAACCCTAAAAGACATGTTCCTGCACAAGGATTGATCCTGACAGTTTTCATTAGAAGAAAGGCACTGCATCTCTACGATACAATACAAGCAGCAGACACACACACACACACACATCAACTGATTCTATTAACACGCATCAATCCACTAGATTATTATTACATAAAGTAAGACAACTAATAACAAAAGAGACTAGAAACAATTGCTTATTATTCTACTTCACTACACATAAATCAGAGGACGATTCATTTGAATCTTATACATGTAACAACAACTAGAGATTCAACTTAATCACTGTCTTACAGGCCACACACAATTATAAAAACACTGAACACACAGAACTAAAAACTAACTCCCCATTCACAGAAAGCCAAACCTACAAAACATCAGAACAATATTAGAAATGCTATGCAAAGAAAACCAATTGCAAAGTGTCTAGTCACTGCTCTTTACTTGTATTGTTTCATGCTTGTAGTAATACTGTGACATTTTAATTGCATACCATTCTAAAGGCAGTTTTCACTCTCAGATCCCAGTCATAACAGGAAGTAGAATAAAAGCAGGAAGCAACAGGAGAACATCAGAGCTTCACACAAGACACAACTCCTGCTGACTCTCACATACACCCAGAAAACACTGCAATATCAACTGAGTCCTTCTTATTACACTTTACAGTGTGAATATCAGAGGGCGATTCATTCAAAGATTAAAAAGGTAACGCTACAATAGCGACTGACAAGAGAACTTGACTTCATGCTAAAGTAAAAGTTACTTACAGGTGAGTCTTGTGCCGTACTCGGTTCCTCATTTATGTGTCGTTTGATTGCGTCGGTTTTATTTGCGGTTGAGCTGTAATATGTGCTGTTAAAGTGACATTAAGAGCTGTCATCTTCCATCTGCAGGATCTGCTCGCGTTGTTGTGATTGTCATCAAGTGTCATGTTGTCAAGCAGCAGAAGCGTCAGACTGAAGGAGAACCCGCTTCTGCCGCCTTGAGGAGCGGAGGAAAACTGCACTTTACTCTCGTCGGGTCGATCACATCTGAGACTTTGGATTAAAGTTCCTGTGAAATTACAGCAGCAACATGTTTGACAAGCTCTGTGGTGCAGAAAATAATGATTTCCTTTGAATGAGAAAGTCTAGTTTTTTTGTATATATATATATATATATGTGTGTGTGTGTGTGTGTGTGTGTGTGTGTGTGTGTGTGTGTGTGTAACGTTATGTATGTATGTATTTTAACATAAGGACAGAACAGAGAAGACAGAAGAAATTTGCAGCGGTGTAATTCACACAAATCACCACAGGAGGGCGAAACACTTATGTTTTTTAGATTCGATCGGACTCGGTTTGCAACGGTGTGATTCACACAATCACCACTTTTCTTTTACTCTCTATATGTAATTCACACAAATCACCACAGGAGGGCACACCACTTATGTTTTTTAGACTCGATTTGCAGCGGTGTAATTCACACAAATCACCACAGGAGGGCACACTCTTATGTTTATTAGACTTGATTTGCAATAGTGTAATTCACACAAATCACCACAGGAGGGCGACACTCTTATGTTTATTAGACTTGATTTGCAATAGTGTAATTCACACAAATCACCACAGCAGGGCGAAAATAATTTTAGATCTGACTTTTTTTGCATGTATATTTATATAGACAGACGATAGGACACAACACGCACACTGATACAGTTGATACAAAGAATAACTTAAAAATAAAATCATTTTATAAAGAATAGATCTGAGTAGTCAATGAATTATTAATCAATGACAATAATCTTTAACATACGCTAAGAACCTTAAACTTGAAATCTAAAACAACATCATTGATTCACAGTCTCTGCGGCTCAGTGGATAGTTGTCAACCTCACCAACCAGAGAGTCCTGGTTCAAATCCCAGGTTTCAGATCCATGTTTGTTGAAGTTATTCATCATTTAACACACAACTCTGGATCAAACCGCTTGAAAATGCTCTTCATCTCAGCAGTCTCAGTGGCTCAGGAGAGAAAGAGTTGTGTTTCAATCACAGCGTCCTGAGTTCAAGTCCCACTATTGCTGACTTTCAATAGTTCTCATTAGACAAGGGGCCCCAAAACCAGCTGTCAACGTGAAATCCATGATGGGCGAGCGGATAAACACACACTCTCTGAGGACAAGACTGATGAAGACGTGGGTTCGAATCTCACTTTAACTGCTTTATTGGAAACTCTCAGGATAACAGTGAAATATAAGTTCCAGCACATCATCAGCAAGAGATCTGTGGCTCACAGGTAAGAGCGCTGCCTCACGGGTTCAGAGGTTGCTGGTTTGATCCCAGCCAGATCTCCGCGATAGGAGTGGATGTTGTGTGAGTGGCGCGCCCAAAGGAGGGGGATACCAGTACGGTCTCCCCCCGGAGCTTCCGGGACAGTCAGCAGCAGGGGGTTATGCTTTTTGGAAACAAGGGAAAAAAAATATTTTTTTTATATAAAAATTTCGCCTCCTCGTCCCTCCCCCACCCGCTTAGGTTCCCATCATTTGCTTTTCAAAGGGGGAGGCCCTTCAAAAAGAAAATGATGGGAACCTACATGTTTAGTACAGTAAAACAAGCATTTACATTACCTGTCCATCAGCAGACGTCCATCATTACAGTCAATGTCTGTCCACACGTCCCACAGCTCTGCTTCTGATGACTGGATGTAATGGTCCAAACACATTCCTTCTGTAAGGAAAGACAAGAAAAAAAAGATTAGTTTTAGAAATACTCAATATTCTACATCTATAAATGACAATGTGAAAGTTAGTCTAAAGACTAGTTAATAAAAGGAAATGGAATAAATTAAAAGCCTAAAGTTGTACAGTGTGAAAATATATTACTATTATAATAATATAGTATAGTTCAGTAAGGCTGTATCAATAATAATCTATGATTTGAATTACAGTTTTACAGGCTACAAATGGACACAAACACTGAATAGAAATAAAGTCTCTGGTGCGAGCGCTGACGCTTGATGCTTAAACATGTACACTGTAAAGAACTGCCCAAGTGGAGTTATAACTTTAAGATGAAACCTTCCTTCACACAACAGTAACCCTAAAAGACATGTTCCTGCACAAGGATTGATCCTGATAGTTTTCATTAGAAGAAAGGCACTGCATCTCTACGATACAATACAAGCAGCAGACACACACTTCACACACACACACACACACACACACACACACACACACACACACACATCAACTGATTCTATTAACACGCATCAATCCACTAGATTATTATTACATAAAGTAAGACAACTAATAACAAAAGAGACTAGAAACAATTGCTTATTATTCTACTTCACTACACATAAATCAGAGGACGATTCATTTGAATCTTATACATGTAACAACAACTAGAGATTCAACTTAATCACCGTCTTACAGGCCACACACAATTATAAAAACACTGAACACACAGAACTAAAAACTAACTCCCCATTCACAGAAAGCCAAACCTACAAAACATCAGAACAATATTAGAAATGCTATGCAAAGAAAACCAATTGCAAAGTGTCTAGTCACTGCTCTTTACTTGTATTGTTTCATGCTTGTAGTAATACTGTGACATTTTAATTGCATACCATTCTAAAGGCAGTTTTCACTCTCAGATCCCAGTCATAACAGGAAGTAGAATAAAAGCAGGAAGCAACAGGAGAACATCAGAGCTTCACACAAGACACAACTCCTGCTGACTCTCACATACACCCAGAAAACACTGCAATATCAACTGAGTCCTTCTTATTACACTTTACAGTGTGAATATCAGAGGGCGATTCATTCAAAGATTAAAAAGGTAACGCTACAATAGCGACTGACAAGAGAACTTGACTTCATGCTAAAGTAAAAGTTACTTACAGGTGAGTCTTGTGCCGCACTCGGTTCCTCATTTATGTGTCGTTTGATTGCGTCGGTTTTATTTGCGGTTGAGCTGTAATATGTGCTGTTAAAGTGACATTAAGAGCTGTCATCTTCCTATCTGCAGTATCTGCTCGCGTTGTTGTGATTGTCATCAAGTGTCATGTTGTCAAGCAGCAGAAGCGTCAGACTGAAGGAGAACCCGCTTCTGCCGCCTTGAGGAGCGGAGGAAAACTGCACTTTACTCTCGTCGGATCACATCTGAGACTTTGGATTAAAGTTCCTGTGAAATTACAGCAGCAACATGTTTGACAAGCTCTGTGGTGCAGAAAATAATGATTTCCTTTGAATGAGAAAGTCTAGTTTTTTGTATATATATATATATGTGTGTGTGTGTGTGTGTGTGTGTGTGTGTGTGTGTGTGTGTGTAACGTTATGTATGTATGTATTTTAACATAAGGACAGAACAGAGAAGACAGAAGAAATTTGCAGCGGTGTAATTCACACAAATCACCACAGGAGGGCGAAACACTTATGTTTTTTTAGATTCGATCGGACTCGGTTTGCAACGGTGTGATTCACACAATCACCACTTTTCTTTTACTCTCTATATGTAATTCACACAAATCACCACAGGAGGGCACACCACTTATGTTTTTTAGACTCGATTTGGAGCGGTGTAATTCACACAAATCACCACAGGAGGGCACACCACTTATGTTTTTTAGACTCGATTTGCAGCGGTGTAATTCACACAAATCACCACAGGAGGGCGACACTCTTACGTTTATTAGACTTGATTTGCAATAGTGTAATTCACACAAATCACCACAGGAGGGCGAAAATAATTTTAGATCTGACTTTTTTTGCATGTATATTTATATAGACAGACGATAGGACACAACACGCACACTGATACAGTTGATACAAAGAATAACTTAAAAATAAAATCATTTTATAAAGAATAGATCTGAGTAGTCAATGAATTATTAATCAATGACAATAATCTTTAACATACGCTAAGAACCTTAAACTTGAAATCTAAAACAACATCATTGATTCACAGTCTCTGCGGCTCAGTGGATAGTTGTCAACCTCACCAACCAGAGAGTCCTGGTTCAAATCCCAGGTTTCAGATCCATGTTTGTTGAAGTTATTCATCATTTAACACACAACTCTGGATCAAACCGGTTGAAAACGCTCTTCATCTCAGCAGTCTCAGTGGCTCAGGAGAGAAAGAGTTGTGTTTCAATCACAGCGTCCTGAGTTCAAGTCCCACTATTGCTGACTTTCAATAGTTCTCATTAGACAAGGGGCCCCAAAACCAGCTGTCAACGTGAAATCCATGATGGGCGAGCGGATAAACACACACTCTCTCAGGACAAGACTGATGAAGACGTGGGTTCGAATCTCACTTTAACTGCTTTATTGGAAACTCTCAGGATAACACTGAAATATAAGTTCCAGCACATCACCAGCACGAGATCTGTGGCTCACAGGTAAGAGCGCTGCCTCACGGGTTCAGAGGTTGCTGGTTTGATCCCAGCCAGATCTCCGCGATAGGAGTGGATGTTGTGTGAGTGGTGCGCCCAAAGGAGGGGGATACCAGTACGGTCTCCCCCCGGAGCTTCCGGGACAGTCAGCAGCAGGGGTTATGCTTTTTGGAAACAAGGAAAAAAAATATTTTTTTTTATATAAAAATTTCGCCTCCTCGTCCCTTCCCCACCCGCTTAGGTTCCCATCATTTGCTTTTCAAAGGGGGAGGCCCTTCAAAAAGAAAATGATGGGAACCTACATGTTTAGTACAGTAAAACAAGCATTTACATTACCTGTCCATCAGCAGACGTCCATCATTACAGTCAATGTCTGTCCACACGTCCCACAGCTCTGCTTCTGATGACTGGATGTAATGGTCCAAACACATTCCTTCTGTAAGGAAAGACAAGAAAAAAAAGATTAGTTTTAGAAATACTCAATATTCTACATCTATAAATGACAATGTGAAAGTTAGTCTAAAGACTAGTTAATAAAAGGAAATGGAATAAATTAAAAGCCTAAAGTTGTACAGTGTGAAAATATATTACTATTATAATAATATAGTATAGTTCAGTAAGGCTTTATCAATAATAATCTATGATTTGAATTACAGTTTTACAGGCTACAAATGGACACAAACACTGAATAGAAATAAAGCCTTCGGTGCGAGCGCTGACGCTTGATGCTTAAACATGTACACTGTAAAGAACTGCCCAAGTGGAGTTATAACTTTAAGATGAAACCTTCCTTCACACAACAGTAACCCTAAAAGACATGTTCCTGCACAAGGATTGATCCTGATAGTTTTCATTAGAAGAAAGGCACTGCATCTCTACGATACAATACAAGCAGCAGACACACACTTCACACACACACACACACACACACACACACACACACACACACACACACACACACACACACACACACACACACACACACACACACACATCAACTGATTCTATTAACACGCATCAATCCACTAGATTATTATTACATAAAGTAAGACAACTAATAACAAAAGAGACTAGAAACAATTGCTTATTATTCTACTTCACTACACATAAATCAGAGGACGATTCATTTGAATCTTATACATGTAACAACAACTAGAGATTCAACTTAATCACCGTCTTACAGGCCACACACAATTATAAAAACACTGAACACACAGAACTAAAAACTAACTCCCCATTCACAGAAAGCCAAACCTACAAAACATCAGAACAATATTAGAAATGCTATGCAAAGAAAACCAATTGCAAAGTGTCTAGTCACTGCTCTTTACTTGTATTGTTTCATGCTTGTAGTAATACTGTGACATTTTAATTGCATACCATTCTAAAGGCAGTTTTCACTCTCAGATCCCAGTCATAACAGGAAGTAGAATAAAAGCAGGAAGCAACAGGAGAACATCAGAGCTTCACACAAGACACAACTCCTGCTGACTCTCACATACACCCAGAAAACACTGCAATATCAACTGAGTCCTTCTTATTACACTTTACAGTGTGAATATCAGAGGGCGATTCATTCAAAGATTAAAAAGGTAACGCTACAATAGCGACTGACAAGAGAACTTGACTTCATGCTAAAGTAAAAGTTACTTACAGGTGAGTCTTGTGCCGTACTCGGTTCCTCATTTATGTGTCGTTTGATTGCGTCGGTTTTATTTGCGGTTGAGCTGTAATATGTGCTGTTAAAGTGACATTAAGAGCTGTCATCTTCCTATCTGCAGTATCTTCTCGCGTTGTTGTGATTGTCATCAAGTGTCATGTTGTCAAGCAGCAGAAGCGTCAGACTGAAGGAGAACCCGCTTCTGCCGCCTTGAGGAGCGGAGGAAAACTGCACTTTACTCTCGTCGGATCACATCTGAGACTTTGGATTAAAGTTCCTGTGAAATTACAGCAGCAACATGTTTGACAAGCTCTGTGGTGCAGAAAATAATGATTTCCTTTGAATGAGAAAGTCTAGTTTTTTGTATATATATATATATGTGTGTGTGTGTGTGTGTGTGTGTGTGTAACGTTATGTATGTATGTATTTTAACATAAGGACAGAACAGAGAAGACAGAAGAAATTTGCAGCGGTGTAATTCACACAAATCACCACAGGAGGGCGAAACACTTATGTTTTTTTAGATTCGATCGGACTCGGTTTGCAACGGTGTGATTCACACAATCACCACTTTTCTTTTACTCTCTATATGTAATTCACACAAATCACCACAGGAGGGCACACCACTTATGTTTTTTAGACTCGATTTGGAGCGGTGTAATTCACACAAATCACCACAGGAGGGCACACCACTTATGTTTTTTAGACTCGATTTGCAGCGGTGTAATTCACACAAATCACCACAGGAGGGCGACACTCTTACGTTTATTAGACTTGATTTGCAATAGTGTAATTCACACAAATCACCACAGGAGGGCGAAAATAATTTTAGATCTGACTTTTTTTGCATGTATATTTATATAGACAGACGATAGGACACAACACGCACACTGATACAGTTGATACAAAGAATAACTTAAAAATAAAATCATTTTATAAAGAATAGATCTGAGTAGTCAATGAATTATTAATCAATGACAATAATCTTTAACATACGCTAAGAACCTTAAACTTGAAATCTAAAACAACATCATTGATTCACAGTCTCTGCGGCTCAGTGGATAGTTGTCAACCTCACCAACCAGACAGTCCTGGTTCAAATCCCAGGTTTCAGATCCATGTTTGTTGAAGTTATTCATCATTTAACACACAACTCTGGATCAAACCGGTTGAAAACGCTCTTCATCTCAGCAGTCTCAGTGGCTCAGGAGAGAAAGAGTTGTGTTTCAATCACAGCGTCCTGAGTTCAAGTCCCACTATTGCTGACTTTCAATAGTTCTCATTAGACAAGGGGCCCCAAAACCAGCTGTCAACGTGAAATCCATGATGGGCGAGCGGATAAACACACACTCTCTGAGGACACGACTGATGAAGACGTGGGTTCGAATCTCACTTTAACTGCTTTATTGGAAACTCTCAGGATAACACTGAAATATAAGTTCCAGCACATCACCAGCACGAGATCTGTGGCTCACAGGTAAGAGCGCTGCCTCACGGGTTCAGAGGTTGCTGGTTTGATCCCAGCCAGATCTCCGCGATAGGAGTGGATGTTGTGTGAGTGGCGCGCCCAAAGGAGGGGGATACCAGTACGGTCTCCCCCCGGAGCTTCCGGGACAGTCAGCAGCAGGGGTTATGCTTTTTGGAAACAAGGAAAAAAAAAATTTTTTTTATATAAAAATTTCACCTCCTCGTCCCTTCCCCACCCGCTTAGGTTCCCATCATTTGCTTTTCAAAGGGGGAGGCCCTTCAAAAAGAAAATGATGGGAACCTACATGTTTAGTACAGTAAAACAAGCATTTACATTACCTGTCCATCAGCAGACGTCCATCATTACAGTCAATGTCTGTCCACACGTCCCACAGCTCTGCTTCTGATGACTGGATGTAATGGTCCAAACACATTCCTTCTGTAAGGAAAGACATGAACAAAAAAGAATATTATTGTTTTTTTTTAAAGATTAAATAGATAGTTTTAGAAATACTCTATATATTCTACATCTATAAATGAGAATGTGAAAGTTAGTCTAAAGACTAGTCAATAGAAGGAAATTGAATACATTAAAAGTATAAAATTATTTAAATTATATTTTGAGAAATCAGAGTGTGTTTGTGTATGTTTGCTGAGGAGAGATTAGGGATGAGCTATAGTTTCGCTTGCATAGAAGTATTGTGTGCAATGACACATCAATGTAACACAAAAATAAACAAGAAATCTCTTGACAAAATAACTGGTGTAGCTTACGTGATTGAACCATAATTGGGACTAGCTGAAGTTTTAAATGTACAGTAATCCTAAAAGGCTGTTTCCTGCACACGGTTTTAACCCTGTTCTTTTCTGTTCTGGACTGTATGTATGATGGTTTTCATTAGAAGTAAAATCACTTGAGCTCTACACAAGCATGAAGCAGCAGAAACATCAGAGCAACTGACTCTATTAACAAACATCAATCCAGTATATTACCTACAGTAAGACTACAATAACAACAACAGCATGTAAAGAAAAAAAATATAAAAACAGCATTCCTTATTATTCTGATTATAAATGTAAAGCAACACCCGATTAATTTGCTCTTCTGAAGGTAGTGTGTGTTCAGAAAAAAATAAGAGTTTTTCTCTTTTTATAGAAGACGCGAATGCTTTCATAACAAACTTAAATAACATTTAGTTTACAGACACCATGAACATTACACTGACGAGCCCTGCTATGATGACATTTCAGCAGAACGATGCATCAGTGAAAAATACAATTATACAAAACATTAAGCGTCTATATCATTTTCTTCGCAAATATCATTTTACAAAAGAAATTCACTTTATGTGCAAAGTTACTTACCGAGAAGTTAAATGACACTCAATTCCCGCATGTTATCGGACTGTATGTCGTTTTATTTGCTGAAATATGTCCAGTTGTGTGGCTGTCATCTGCACATGTTGTAGCGTCTGTCATCAACAAGCGTCAATGTTGCCAAGGACCCGAAGGAGTCGCTCTGACAGTGATGCCCGCTCACGCCGCCTAGTGGAGCGGATGAAAACTGCGCTTCGGTTTCTGTTATTCTGCTAAATAAATAAACATAAAGGTGTTGCGCCCTCCTGTGGTGATTTGTGTGAATTACACCGTTGCAAATCAAGTCAGAGCCCGTCTAACGGAGAGCCTTGGCACTTCCTATTAGCCCCATTGTGTATCATCCTGGTTGCAGTTCCATTAGAATTCCACTGGAGGTGATCGCGGGCGAGAGCAGAATAAATGGGAGTCTATGGGGCTAAACGGCTAAAAGTGTCTCTTTCACCTGCTTGTCGTTAAATTAACATAGATTTTATTGTTGATTCCGCAAGTTCAATATATATTATAGGCCAAAAGTCGAATGAATGAGTACTTATGTCCTTTTGATTTCTTACAGGTTAGGCCGTTGTCCAAATCCGCTATTTACCCTTTTCACTTCCTCCTACAATGACGCAAAAATACCGAGCTCTGAAGTTCTGAAGGCGTTGCCCCTGGCAACCGATAGCGTCTCCTACCATCATGGTCGACCGGCTCAGACTCCGCCCAAATCGGCATGTGTGACTCCTCACTCTCAATATTCCACAGTCAGGCTACAGTAATTTAGTTCGGACTAAAAGGGGAAGTGGTAAAAACTGTAATAGAAGTACAAAAGTGTTGTTTTCACACACAGATCTCCCTCTATCCAGTGTAGAAGAGTCACACACAGTCGCTCTTTCACTCTTCTCTGGTAAGTCATTTACACACAACACACTTCGTTGGTTTGAGACTGTCAGTTTTTTTTTTTTTTTTTTGACACTCAGGTTGTAAAACATGTTTAAGATTAAACTATTTTTAAAAAAAATAAATAAAATAAGACTTTCATATTTGTTTTCTCATGACATTTCTCTCACTCATGAAAAACTTTAAAACAAGTTTTGGATTTAGAAATAATGTTTACACCAAAGTTTAAAAAGGACATAACTGTTATTAAGTTGTTATTAAGTTTATACACTCTTAAAATTAAAGGTTTCAAAGGGATTTTCACATGCGTTTCCACAGAAGAACAATTTATGGAAACATTCAGTAAACACTTCTTAAACGAACCATTTTTCTTAATATGAAGAGCTTTTTTATAATCTAAAGAACATTGTTTTTTCACTTTTTTAAATAACCTTTTATGAAATGGAAAGATTACATGGATATTAAAGGATCTTCAAGAAACCATCAATGCCAATAGCCTTTATTTTAAGACTGTATACTTTTTATTTGTATTAAGAGTTTAATTTGTATTTCTATTTAAGATGTATATTTTGTATTTCTATTAAGATTGCATACTTTGTATTTGTATTAAGAGTGTATACTTTGTGTTTGTATTTTCTGTTGTAAGGTGAAGTGAATGATGGAAATATCTGTGACGTTCCTCCTCACTGGATGTCTGATACAAGGTTTCATTCTTATAGATTATTCCTCTGCTGAATTAATATTCTGAAAGCATTTTCATATGAATAAGTGCAGCAGTTTATTCTGCATGTAAAGTTTGTGTGATCAGTTCCTCTTGTCTGTGTGTTTTAGGAGCTCTTTGTGGTTTTGATATCAGTCTGCCGAAGAAAGTAGAAGCTCTAAAAGGATCCTGTGTTTTCATACCCTGCACATTTGATGTTGATCAAGAATATGAAAAATACCTCACAGATAATGCAAAGAGAAAATGGCATAAAGACGAAACGCCTCTCACTGAAGTGTTTAACTCAGATCAACCCAACGCTGGATCGTTAAAAGGAGAAATATTTGGCACTCCTACAGACAAAAACTGCACCACCCACTTCCACAATGTCCGTCAGAGTGATAATGGGTCATATTTCTTTAGAGTTGAAAGCGGTCAATTGAAATATAGCTACAGGAAACCTACATTCACCCAAGTTGAAATTGCTGTCATTGGTGAGTGTCATATTGTTCATGCTGCTTCTATCTTAATATAAATGTGATGCGGCCATGTCTAAGGTGAAAGTGTGAAGCTTCTGGTGTCATTCACTTCCAGACCTGAACAAAACAGTCCGTTATGATGCTTTATATTGCAAACTGACAATTATCATATTCTTTTAGTTATCATAATCATAAACACACTGATGTGCAAATAGTTTTACCGTTTACTGCACTTTATTCTAGGTTTTTAGTAATATAACTTTGTAGCCCCGGCCCTTTTCAGCTCTGTGCTCGATGTGTATGTGTTCTGGCTCGTTTTAAAATCTTCCTGGCACACTGGGATTATTTTATCTTATTATTTTATAACATTACAAACATTAAAATGCTCATGATAACTTTCATTAACTCCACAATAAGTAAATCCACTTCACCAGCTACTCTTCAACAGAATAAGAGATTCTGCAAAAACAGAAGTTCAGACACTTACTTCTAAAGACGGCTGCACGGCGAATGAATCAGACGTCTCCTACATTCAAAGAAAACAGCTCAATTCCCCAGTACAAAATGAGTTGCATTGAAAAATAAATCAACTACATTATTATTATTACACCCTGTAATATTTGACTGTTAATGTGTCGTAGGTTCTCCACCCAAACCCAAAGTGAGTCTGTTAAAGGATCAGCAGAACGTGACAGAGGTGGAGGAGGGAAGCTCTGTGAATCTGCGCTGCTCGACTAAGATCTTCTGTTCCTCTCGTCCAGCAAATCTCACATGGAGCTCGTCTCCTGAACACCTCCTCGACGAGAGCGTCACTCAACAGCAGCGTCAGGAGCAAACTGAGCTGATCTCTGATCTGATCTTCACTGTAACTCCCCGTCATCATTCAGCCAATTTCACTTGCTCTGTAACACACCAGCTTCGGCAGCAGATCACAAAAAACAAGACCCGTACCCTACGTGTTCAGTGTAAGACAGGGATTCTTTCATTCAATACTGTCTGATCGTCTAGAGTTAGTGCTATAAATCATAACATAATTGCCTGAATGTTTTTCTCCTCCATTAGACGCCCCTAAAAACACATCTGCTCATGTGACTGGATCTGGGTTTGTTGTGGAGGGCCGTTCAGTGACTCTGAGCTGCAGCAGTGACGCAAACCCACCGGTGCTCAACTACACCTGGTACAGAGACACTGAAGAACCACTGAAACCAGTGCAGAGCGGACAGAACCTGACCATCAGCAACACCGACCCGACACACAGCGGACGATACGTCTGTACAGCTCAGAACGAACAAGGCACTCAGAACGCATCAGTGATGCTGGACGTCCAGTGTGAGTATCGAGAGTCTCTTCTTTATACATACACACATATATATATTAGAAGTATATGAAATATTGCATATAATTTATTTTATATGCAGAGAGAGAGAGAGAGAGAGAGAGAGAGAGAGAGAGAGAGAGAGAGGAATTGTGTAAATAAATACACAAAATATAAATTATATTACCATTACATTAACAATTATTTTATATATATATTTTGAAATATAAAAACTTCACTTTTAATATTTGAAAATAAAGGTATAGTGTATAGGTTTTATATCACAGTTTTTTTACATACATACATTTTCATGTAAATATCAACAATAAAAGTATTTAATGCATGAAATACAATATTAAAAAAGATATATATATATTAAACAAAATATATAAAACCTTCAATGTTACTTACTTTAATTCAAAATATTTAAGTCAGTCGTTTTGCACAGAGTAGCATTACCAACCGTTACTGAATGATCTTCACTTAAACAGTTTTTTCAACCTTTACTAGGCTTGTAAATGTATAGTGAACGACAAGAATTGAATGCAAATATAATAAACATGACTTTGTAGTCCTCTAACCTGCTGACAGCAGACATTTTTTTTTACATGGATGAGAAAATGTGTACGATTTAAAAAGCATTTTTATTTTTCACTAATTACTTCCCATGTTTACATTAGTGTTATTTCATTGCAATAATGACTTTACCATTTTTTTTTTTTTTTAATTGATGGCCTAAATGTTTTTCTCCTCCATTAGACGCTCCTAAAAACACATCTGCTCATGTGACTGGATCTGGGTTTGTTGTGGAGGGCCGTTCAGTGACTCTGAGCTGCAGCAGTGACGCAAACCCACCGGTGCTCAACTACACCTGGTACAGAGACACTGAAGAACCACTGAAACCAGTGCAGAGCGGACAGAACCTGACCATCAGCAACACCGACCCGACACACAGCGGACGATACGTCTGTACAGCTCAGAACGAACACGGCACTCAGAACGCATCAGTGATGCTGGACTTCCAGTGTGAGTATCGAGAGTCTCTTCTTTATACATACACACATATATATATTAGAAGTATATGAAATATTGCATATAATTTATTTTATATGCAGAGAGAGAGAGAGAGAGAGAGGAATTGTGTAAATAAATACACAAAATATAAATTACATTACCTACATTACATTAACAATTATTTTATATATATATTTTGAAATATAAAAACTTCACTTTTAATATTTGAAAATAAAGGTATAGTGTAGGTTTTATATCACAGTTTTTTTACATACATACATTTTCATGTAAATATCAATAATAAAAGTATTTAATGCATAAAATACAATATTAAAAAAGATATATATATATATATATATTAAACAAAATATATAAAACCTTCAATGTTACTTACTTTAATTCAAAATATTTAAGTCAGTCGTTTTGCACAGAGTAGCATTACCAACCGTTACTATGAAAGATCTTCACTTAAACAGTTTTTTCAACCTTTACTAGGCTTGTAAATGTATAGTGAACGACAAGAATTGAATGTTAATATAATAAACATGACTTTGTAGTCCTCTAACCTGCTGACAGCAGACATTGTTTACATGGATGAGAAAATGTGTACGATTTAAAAAGCATTTTTATTTTTCAGTAATTACTTCCCATGTTTACATTAGTGTTATTTCATTGCAATAATGACTTTACAATTTTTTTTTTTTAATTGATGGCCTAAATGTTTTTCTCCTCCATTAGACGCCCCTAAAAACACATCTGCTCATGTGACTGGATCTGGGTTTGTTGTGGAGGGCCGTTCAGTGACTCTGAGCTGCAGCAGTGACGCAAACCCACCGGTGCTCAACTACACCTGGTACAGAGACACTGAAGAACCACTGAAACCAGTGCAGAGCGGACAGAACCTGACCATCAGCAACACCGACCCGACACACAGCGGACGATACGTCTGTACAGCTCAGAACGAACACGGCACTCAGAACGCATCAGTGACGCTGAACGTCCAGTGTGAGTATCGAGAGTCTCTTCTAATTTACACACAGTACATTACTATATTAGACTTCAGATATTAAATATTTCACACATCAAATAATTTGAATGTATTTAAATTTAGTTCAAATATTAACTCATTTGAAACCCTTCACTTTTACTGCAAATACTTCCACTAGTGGTAACTCATTGTGTTTACTATTAGTGCTCAGTGTGAGTACACAGAAAAATTACAGCACTGTTATATTCACTCATTATATCTGATCCCTTACAGCAAAAGCATAACATTGATTGCATTACATTTGGATGCAAAGTGCAATGTTTATGGTGGTGAAAATATACATGTATTGAGATTAAAAAGGTGATATTTACCATAAAAGCATGTGATGACACGGTTTTACGCAGTCACAATGACCTTCAGCCCTGAAAAGACACTATTGAAGAGTTGAAAAACACACAATACATGTTTAAATGACTTCAAATTGATGTATAGCTTAAGTTAAAGACCAATTTATCATATAAACTACACTACACACATGCTATAAGGTTTAATATCTTATATGAAGGCTTTACTGGCCGTGGGAAAAAAATGTGTGACAGGCTAACGGTGATCAACAATACAGCTGCAGTTCAATTTGCATGAAATGCTGTGAAATGTGTGTAACACTGTAGTACTTTTTTTGCATGGGTGTTTTCTTCATTTACAGAAAATTTCTATGGAAAGACTGCTGTGGATTTGGTTCCTCTTTAGTAAAAGCTCATATTAAAGCACCACATGTACAAGTTACGTTAGTGTTTTGAAATGCAAGGTGAAACCTTTGTGAAACTCCACTGAAGCCAGTAAAATTGCAAGAAGTTGTCAACCGTCCTTTTTGTAATTCTAACGCAATTTGATTAGCGTATGAGACAAAAGAATTTACTAGTAGCTGACATCTCAAATTCTCTAAAATTCCTTAAACATTTCAGTCGCAGCATGCTCAAGTAATGGGAAAATATAATAAGATGAGTAATATATGAGTTACTTCAAAAAAAAAAAAAAGAAAAAAAAGTTCATTATACCAGAACAAACATTTTCACATCTCTAAAATTGTACTTCTGTTTAAGATGTGTAAAAAAAAAAAAAGTGCCAGAGCCACACTTTACAAGAAGAGCACCATGTAAATTGCTTATATTAAATATAAATGGAATCAGTACATAAAATGCTGTTGCCTCACGGAGATTAATAAAGCTCTAAACTAAACTAAATGTATAATAAGTGTAAAGCTTGAATTAAAGGTTTACACAAAAATGTAATTTATTATTTGTCATCCAAAACCTGTATGACACGCTATTTGTTTTATCTTTAAAAGTAAGCATTTTAAGTACTGATTGCATTTATATTTAATCTTTTCGCTCGAAAATGTCTAGCAAAAATAAATTATTTGCTGTCTACAACATTCCTTAATGTCATTCACAAACGTTCTTAGGCATCCATTCAGTGGATGAATGAATGAAGCATTTATATAGCTCTAAGGCCGTATAAGTCGATCCAATGGCGGTACTCGGGTCTCACGTCTGTTCCGTCTTTTCTCATTTTCTCATTTTAATTAAAGGCGATACATTTTATCTTATGTATTAACTTGTTATTTTATCTGACTCCATAAATGAAAAGGTTTTTCAATGATATCTGTGCATCATTAAATCTATGCGAGTGTTAGACTATTCCTTTTAATATAACATATATATAACATTCCTTTTTTTATTCCTCTAATGAAAGTAAAGTATAGAATAATCAAATATAACAATTATGTCAGGTAAATGTATTATTACAATTTCATAGCTAATCAATTGAAAGATAATCAGTGCAAACCATCAAATGTGCTAGAACGAAGAGGAAAATCTTTTACCCGACATTACACGGGCTGATCTGAGATACAGAAGAAGCCCTGAGCTCTCGTTGCGTTTTCCTTATATAGAGACAGGCCTCATTTCAAAAGTAAACATGAGTTTCCAGTGGAAATTTACTGGTGGGTAACCATTTGCTCGTGGTAAATTTGCATTCAGACAGAGGCTCAGAAGGTGTTAACTGAAACTTCTGTGTGCAAGATATTTCTATATTCTTTGTACCAGTCACCCTGAGACCTTTAAAATGATACTAAACACAATCCTTAATGATAATCATTCGCATTGTCATATATACATATACATATATATATATATATATATATATATAGAGAGAGAGAGAGAGAGAGAGAGAGAGAGAGAGAGAGAGAGAAAAAAGTAGATGACGTGAGACTTGTCTCAAAGGTAGAGGGGGAGGGAGTCAAATGTTAATTCCAACAAGATCCTTTGTTTCATAGACCACTGGTCAGATATTTTCTCTTCAACCAGTTTTTTCAGCCTTACATAACGCTTTCTACTGTACACCCAAAGTGCTTTACAATCATGTCGGGGTCTCTCCTCAACAACCACAAGAGTGGAAATCTAGGGCCTCACCGCCAGCCACTGAGGACAAAGCCTCTGACAGAGTAAAGGCAGCTTTAAAGAGTTTGTCTGCACAATAATAGCATTTTCACAACGTGTTGCAGTTAGAGGAACAAACAGTAACCACAACTTCGAAATTGTGGCTTTTTTCTCTTTTCTACTTCAGTACACTACAAGCTCTCAGACTTTATGGGGTTTCACACTGCACTTAACCCCAGGTTACGTCGTTTTAAACACCACTTTTAACCCCAGGTAAAGGAACGTTTTAGGAATGTGTTTATAAATACTCAGGAATAAATGTTAACCCCAATGTAAAAACGAGAATGAGAATTCTGTAATCACGGTTTTTAGTGTGACCCACAGTTAACTGTATTTGCAGTGTGAAAAGCCCTTGTGAGATGTTCAGCAGTTTATCTTAAGTGCTAAAAAAATGTGTTCTGTAAACACGGTTTTTAGTGTGACCCACAGTTAACTGTATTTCCAATGTGAAAAGCACGTGAGATGTTCAGTAGTTTTTCTTAAGTGCTAAAAAAAAACAGGGCCCGTATTCATAAAGATCCTCTCAGAAAACTCTTAATTTAGTTTAAAAACTTTTACGTTGGAGTCTTAGCTTAAGAGCGATTCGGGACCGATCTGAGAGCAAGGAAAAGACAAAAACTTTCATCTTAGTGAGGAGGCGGGATTGACCTCATTTGCTTTGTGTGACACAATCTTGACTGGACAAAAAGACTGTGACTGGTTGGTTGTCCAAGAAGGAAAAAGAGAGCAATTATAAGTGTAGAGTTTACTCACTCACAGACACACACACACTATATACTCACTGTCATCCATTGTCTGCATCACATTTCTCTTCTGCTAAAGAAACTTTTAAGCCTCTTAAAAGTCCTCATCTGTACTACTAACAATTTTGACCGTAAGACCTCTTTTAAGGCTTAAGAATTACTTTTTTTTTACTAAGATTCGTTCTTTAATTTTACGAGTAAACGGCCACATTTCTAGGAATTTTCTTAGAGTTTTGTCAGTAGCTACTCTTTGCATTGAGATTCTTTATGAATACGGGCCCAGGTCAATTCAAGCCGTTTTATTTTGCTCAGATCCTTCACAGAAACTACGGTTTATGATCTTATTCTCTCTTTCAGTTGCGCCCAAAATCTCCAGTTTTTGCAAAAGCAGCGTAATCACGTGTGTCTGTGAGGCTCATGGGAATCCCTCGCCAAAACTAGAGTGGCATCTATCTGGAAATGTTCTCGCTAACACCACAAACACAGTCATCTGGAATGAAACTTTAGGAAGCACAAGCTCGAAGAGCGTCCTAATCATCCATCGGCATCTCACCGAAACGGACGTCCTGCTGTGTTTCAGTGCAAACACTCTCGGCACCGCCAGCGCCAGCTTTCATCCCATCGCGCAGACTCTGACAAGTGAGTTTCGCTTCTCTGACACGCACAACAACAGCTTTATCTGATCAACAAGAATGATCACAAATGAGATCTCTGGAATATCTTAACCCTTCTGAAAAAAGTGCACTTGGAGTGTACTTCAAATCTTAAAAGTAGCAAGTTAGATTAAAAAAAGTAACTAGATTAAAAACGTTTCTATAAATCTTTTAGGTATGATTTTAAGGATTTAGTTGTCATTAATTTGTTTTGGTTAATTTTTTTTAGTTTTAATTACATTTTATTAATTAAACAGCTAGTAAACATATACTTAATCAGTAGAAAAAACTGAAAGACCTGTTAATCATGAATGTATTTTCGCAATCATTTCTCCTTAGAACCTTTTTGGTATAAAGTGATTTTATCATCAACTTATTTTGATGTGTTGACTAAGTTATCAAAAGCACACAAAGTACTCGATTATAATTGTATTTATAGTGTGATTTTTAATATTACATTTAAAGTTAATACCGGTATATTAAAATCAGCTTCATTACAAATCTGTGATTAAAAACATATTTAAATATGCATGACCTACAATTTCCGGTTACACTTTATTTTAAGGTGTACGTGTTATAGAGTAATTATACATACTATTAAGTACTGAGTAATAATAATTAACTACATGTACTTACGGTTAGCTGCATGTAATTATGCATAATTTTTTACTATAGTAACGAGGACACTTTTCTTCAGAGAAATGTTCTTATATTTGCCAAGACACTAAAGTCTGTAATTAAACATCAGAGATCTCAGTATGAACTCAAATCGAATCAATGATCAAATGATCTGAGCTGCTCTTCACATTCATTTTTAGCCCTCCTGAGAAACATATGAGACACTTAAAAGACAGTGAGATCTCCATTAAGAGTCCTGAGCTATAAAAGACCAACCTCTGAGTAATAAAACACTGCTTTCCAGATTTCCATCAGCAATCTGTGCTGCTCGGAGCTGCTGTCGGCGCATCAGCGATGATGATCTTGTGCATCATAGCAGTCTACAATGAACGGTGGGTACATCAGACAAAAGCCATTTGAGGAAAGACAAGAAAACATGATTATCACAGAACTGAGCTGAGGCTTATTCTTTGTTGAGGCTTTTCACTGCAAAATATGCTTGTCTTGTTTTCCAGTACAAATATCTAAACGTTCTTAAATCAAGATACTTTTACTTGAGAAGCAATATGACTTCAGATATTAAGTCTTGTTTTCAGAAAAAGGCCAATGTGTTCAGAGAGATACACTTTTTTAACCCCATTGGCAGATATTTGCTCTTGTTTTAAACAATCTTAATTTTGATATCTTTTTCAGGAAACAATGCCATTTTGCTTCTCATGTAAATGTGTCTTAATTTAAGAATGTTCATAATATTTGTACTGGAAAACAAGACAAACACAGAAGAACGTTTTTTTTTTTTTTTTTTGCAGTGTGAAGTCAAACAGTTCGATCACACATTGATTTGATGAGACTTTTACTTTACTAGCCTCATCACAAGGAGAATTTGTGATTCTGATTGACATATTATTTAAGAATCAATTTTTTAATGACCTAAAAACAATTTTCAGAAGAAGGAATCCCAAACCTTCAGGAACCAGACAAGACGACACATCTGGGCTCATACTGTCTCAAACAGTGAGTCAACACACACACTCACACTATTCATTTTTTGAAGACATCACAAACGGGCATTCGGCTGATTCTGCTGTGTTTCTGCTCCATCAGGCCACGGTTCCCAACGGTGACGAAGTGGTTGTTTACGAAAATAAAGACATGCAGTCAGCCATTACACCAAGAACAGCAGAATCTCTTCATTATTCCTCGATCGTCTTCACGAATGCGGAGCCGGCGTCAGGAGAGATCTGGGGCGCCTCCTCGCTGACCGAGGTATATGCGGTGGTCCGTCGTCATTCTGCAGGAGACGCAGCATCTGCGACCGACCTCGAGAAAGACCAAAGCCCACAAGATAGCAGGGAGAAGATCACGGATGGGTCATCGGAAGACATGATTTATGAAAACATGACCCATCGCTTGGTTGTTTAAAGACAGAAAAGGAACAGTTGTACTTTGTCCAAAATCGAATACTGCTATACAGTGTGCGAAAAAGTATTATGAATACATAGTATTTAAATAACAGTTGGCGAAATGTACCCAGTGTGACGTAGTACTTCTGAACTTTATTATCCCAATTGGCCAATAGTAGCCAATAGATAGAAGTTTCTCCAATCTTCTTGAAACTCTTGATTCTGATAGAGGGCCATGGGACTTAGACCTGAGTGCAAAAATGGAGGATCTAGACCCTTCCAGAGCTGAGATATGGACATCCCACGTAGCATTTATCCCATTATAAAAAAATAGTGGTTTAAAATGGGATAAATGCTACATATCGCAGCTCAGAGTCCATTTTTGCACTCATGTCTAAGTCTCATGGCCCTCTATCAGAATCCAGAGTTTCGAAAAGATCGGAGATGGATTTTAAACCCGGAAGACAAAAAAAGCGAGAAAAAAAATCTAATTTAACCATTTTGACCCTACTATTAAATCTAACAGATGCTAACATTGTCTTCAATGGTGTTCGACACATACCCCTGTTAAAATGTCAGAAAATTTGGTTTGGGGTTTCATGACCCTTAAAGTGTGATGATGAAGACATCCAGGATCAGTACACATGAACATGGTTATTTCAATTTATTTTCTCATAAACTCTTTGCAACTAACGGTCAAGCACACAATTTATCAAAGAACAGTTTTCCATCCAAAGACCTCGACCGTACTTGTTTGACAGCACAACATGGAGACAAATGTTGAGTAAAGGTCTAGCAACTCAGCAACTTCACTGCTGTGAACATCTCTAAAAGCAAACATGCACGTGTTACAAGAAAGGAAGAAAGAAACATTTTCAATAGGGGACTTTTTTTTCCATTAAAAAACTTTTTTCCACTTTTTTTTATGTAATCCAGTTGATCAAACCCAAATCAATCCAGCTGAATCGCATCAGGACTTCACCACACAAAGCCAAAGCAGCGATTTAAAAACGTCGGCCATGTTTCTGAGCAGAAACGTTGGAGATTGTAAAGATCACGTTGGCAGTAGAAGCTTCAATTGAAAACTCAGCTTGGCTCAAAATTAAGGGTTGCTATTATTAAGACACCAAGGTGTTCGATTCTAGTAGAAAAATGGCTGTGTATTTCACGTTTGGAATGATTTAGTGTGCATGTGCTTCTCTACTGATAGGCTACCGAGGAGCTTAAATGTTTCTGACATGCAGGAGAATCCTCTAAAATAATCTCTCTATTATTAATAAGTAAGCTGGGGAAGACGTATGTGCGGTAAACATGAAAAACTGTGTGCGAAACATACGAAAGACCAGGTGATGGAAGGCAGACACGTCTTAAAACAGCAATCTAAAAATACAATTTGGCAATCGACCACCAGGGGGCAGTCAGTGTAGAAAAACGAAAGCTCATGATGTCCTCAAATAGGCTAGTGCTGTCATCATGAGGCCGTCTGAAAATGGAAAATTAGCCGTCACTTTGACCTCTGGCAGGGTTGTAGATTCATAAAACTGTATAAATACACACATTTGGTTCATCTTCAAAGCAAACGTAAATAAAAATGCTTCAGAAAATGAGCAAAGGTTAAAAAGGAAAGGGCAACAACTACAAAACGCATCTAGATGTTCCCTCCTGAAATCTGACAATACGTCTGCAGGTCCTGTTAGATTCAGAGCACTTTAAATATAGTGGTTAATAACAAATAAAACAACATTAAAACAGAGACTCGACACTTTTTTCTTCAGTTTTTCGCTTTTCGTCAAAAAATATGGGAAGCCCTCAGTCATTTCCGGAAATAGATTTGATTCACCCTCGCAAATATACATTTGTACATTTTTTTTTTTTTTTTTGGTATGTATATAATCGGAAAAGGAATATATACTTTGAATATTTACAGACCGATGAACCTGCCCGTCTGCAGACATATCCTCATTTAAAGCTCACAAAAAGAGACTGACGTTAAACTCATTGTTTTCTGCTGTACAAACAGAAAAAATAACAAACAAACCTGTCGAGAACATGTCGTAAAGTTAAGTATGCTATATATATTAATTAATATTCATTATATAAAATTTTATTTCAAATGTAATAATGGATTAAAGTTGAGGGTAATTTGCTTAATTGTAATTAAAAATGAAGTTAAACAAATCCCTTTTTGGTTCCTAAATATAGGCTTAATTTAGATATTTTTTCCCTTTGATTTTGGGTATTTATGTTAATAGAGGTGAACAAAAATGTGTTGTTAAATATGCTTCAGATCTGTGGCCTTTCCCTCTGAATGCAGCAAACAAAACAGAGAAAAAAATATATATAAAACCCGAACCAAAAACACATAGAAAACGCTAAACTATGTTCCTGTAGGCTTTAGTACCGCATGGTTGCCTACAAAAGGTTTCCGGCTTGATTAAATGGCATTAGACAGGACAGAAACAAACCGTCAAAAGACAAACAAAGCTTTGAGCTCCATCAGTGACGAAGATCTTTAGTCCTGTGACGAAACACTGTCACCAGAAGACACAAAGGCAGCTTCTCCGACAAGAATGTAAAGGAGAAACACTGTAAAACGTGGTTGCATATATAAATGGTATTAAGAAGAGTCGTTATAAAATAGCACTCGCATCAATCATGAAGGAGGGGTTCGGGCGAGCGGCCGGCGACGAAAGCTAAAGAAACAACTGTGTGTGCGCGTGAATGGATGAAAGACACCTGTCTGGAAGAGGAAGTGTTCGGAAGACGAGGACACACACTTCCTGTGCGCTCCGGTCATTGGGTCAGTGTGCTGGAAGCTCTGAAGTATGACAGGAACTTGAAGCACAAACTCACAACGAAGTACCAGATGTTCCTGGCCATCTGAGAGCGAGCGATGAAGACGCGCCAGATGAAGACGAGCAGAACGGTGTTGAACGTGTATCGGATGTTTCTCAGCCTGAGAACGGGAGGAAGAGAGTTAATAATTCAGCAATTTGAATAAATCAAACACACCAACCTTCAAACTCAACCTTCCTCTTCTTTATGGACAGGATTCAGTGTTTTAGGAGTTTTAATGTGTGTGTACTGTATATATATATGAAGAGTTCAGATGCAAAAGCCTCTAAATGCCATTTGAAATTTTCTTCTTTAATGATGATTTTTATCAAGCTTGTATATTTAAGTTCAGTAATTTCACTTAAATAACAATTAATAGGTAATTATCATTGCCATTTAAGTGAAATCACTGAACTTAAATATACAAGCTTGATAAAAATTACCATTCTAGAAGAAAATTTCAAATGGCATTTAGAGGCTTTTGCATCTGAACTCTTCATATATATATATATATATATATATATATATATATATATATATATATATATATATATAATCTATTATTCAAAACATTATACATTTGAATCAGTTTTCATGTTGAACTAAGCAAAAATGAGAAATGTTGCCTTGGAAAATAGCTAAAATGAAATAAGTTTTTAAAATACTTTATTTTATTTGAGCAAAAGTTTATTCAAAGTTAAACTATTTTTTATGGTTTTAATTTTCCTTTTAGTTATAATAACTGTATAAGTTTTGATTACACTAGTTTGATGTGATGTAGTTACATTGCACTACACTGTAAAACAATATTGATGGTTTAACTTAAAAAGTAAGTAACCTGGTTGCCTTAAAATTTTAAGTTGATTGAACTGGAAAAAGTGAGTTAATACAATGAAGGAGAATGATTTAATCATCAGAAACTCAAAATTATATGTTATCTGAACTAAATAAATTATTTAAGTTGATTTGACAAAAGAAAAAATGTTGTGATTACTAAACTGTAAAAAAATTTTTGTTGGTTTAACTTAAAAAAGTAAGTAACCTGGTTGCCTTGACATTTTAAGTTGATTGAACTGGAAAAAGTGAGTTAAAACAATGAAGGAGATTAATTTAACCATCAGAAACTCAAAATAAGTTATCTCAACTAAATAAATTATTATAAAGTTGATTTGACAAAAGAAAATATGTTGTGATAACAAATCTTGAAAATATTTTTTACAGTGTATAAGTACTGAGTGACATTACACACTATATATGCTTATACTATTGAGTTACAGTTAGGGTTTGGTTTAGTTACTTGTAATTATGCATAATTTACAACTATAGTAAATACATGTAGTAATATGTAACTCATCTTAAATTAAAGTGTTACCTATATTTTTACTGTAATACTATAAAAATACTACATTACAGTAATGAGAATCACCTTATAAATTAATGCAAAAATAATTGTGATGAAAATAATATGAAGCAATGCTTTTAGGAAATATTTTACATTGCTAAAAATAGGCTTTATTTTCCTTCATTTATTGTCTTTATTAGTCTTTTGATGTAGGTTTTATGTTTAAACTGTTTGGGTTTTTGATTGGGTTATTTTGCAGGTGGACGTACTTCCTCAAGTGCTGTCTGGCGGCGGGAATGTCTGACATGTCCTCGTTCAGAACGTACTTCTTGGTGCCGATACAGTAATTCTCGATGTACTCCGGCCAGTTGAGCTGGCGAACGTCAAAGTTGAAGGTCTGAAAGATCACAAGGATGAATTCAACACAGTATTTCCTCTCTAAATGTTAGTATTTGCATCTCATTGATCCTAAAGCTGTGTTTGTTTGTGTGTGTGTGTGTGTGTGTACCTTCCTGTCCTCAGCGCTCAGGTGGCTCATCAGCATGTTCAGGTTGTCAGAGCTCCACTGCCAGTCCTGACTGCTGAAGTACTCCAGAAGACCGATGGCTTTGTGCAAACGGTTGAAAATACGCATCATTCTGAACGAAAACACACAGACACACTCAGCACCTCTCTGAGCAGCCAATGACAATTACTCTATTATCGTATGTGTGTGTATAATACAAATAATTATAGTTACAATTATATTATAATAAACATAATAATATAAATATTATAATTGTATTTATATACAGTATTATATAAATATATACACACACACACATACACACAATTATCTCAACATTAACAATACATTTAACAATAACAAAACAAGAAAACATAATTTACATTTTTAAATTTAAGGTTTTTTTATATTTAGGGTTAAGGTTATATTAACCATAATAAATATATAGTAGTATATATATATATATATATACATATACAGTGATGTGAATAAGTTTAGACACCGATGCTAAAGTTGCCTAAAATTGGGAAAATTTAACCTTTAAGGACACCAATTTTTTGTGTATGAATAATGTATCATAAATAAATAAATAAATAAATGTTCTTCCACAAAATACAGGGTGCATAAGTCAGGACACCCCTATGTTAAATTCCCATAGAGTCAGGCAGATTATATTGCAGATGCATATTATCCTGGATCCATAAAATAACTGGCCTTTAAAATTAAAAATCTGACGTTGAGCAGCAAATTCAGAAATCATTCAGAAATCAGAAATCATATTAGAATGATTCCTGGAGGATCATATGATGTAATGATGCTGAAAATTCACAGGAATAAATTACATTTTACAATATATTCACATAGAAAACTATACTTTTATCAGAACAGAAATGCTGATGTAATTGTTCTCACTGTGGTTTCTGGCCAGACAGTCTGAGGAAGAGGTCATAGATGAGCGCTGGGAACTTGTGGCTGACGAGGATCCAGTACTGGTTGATCAGATAGTTGGAGGTGATGTTGGCGTTGGGCCGACGGAAAGCCTGCTCTAGAGGATTCCTTTTGAACGAGGACATCACGTGATGCTCTGCGGCACAAATATGTGTTCAGTCATACTTACTGGAGCTTGAGTTATTCGTGTAATGTCCTAATGGCACTGCAGATATGATATTTTACGGCTGTCACATGACAGCGTTCCACACCATGACTAAACCACTATGACGGAGGCATGAGATTAGAAACAATTAACTGTATTTTCATCACGATCCCGATTTATTTTCTTCTCTAATAATTATGCACAATCAGCATTATCGTGCACGTCTACGGCTGAGGAATGCTTATGGAAGAGGAAGATCCTCACTGAATCTGCTTCTGCCTGTTGGCATGGGGATGTTGGCAGCCAGATGTTGCTCATGGTAACCGCACACTCTGCTGTTACCATGGCAATGCCAGACTCCAGCTGCTCTGCCCTCTGGCATCAACATACACCGTGCATACAGTGGCTGTGATCCGAATGATATACTATGTGCTATCGTGTTAAAATGTGACGTATACAACCAAAACACTGTGAGGAATCCTGTCTGTATCCCACAATGCAATGCCTTCAACTTGACAGTGTGAAATAATAAGATACTTCTATTCCTTTGAGACACTTAAGTTTCATAAAATAATAATAATAATAATAATAATACACATATTAATAAACATAACAATAAAATAACATATGTGCTTGTTCTAATTAATTTTTTTATGTAGCTAATTTATTTCTATAATATAATCATGTACTATAATAATGTATTATTGATTATCATTTACATAATAATAATGTAAAACCTGCTGTTTTATTTATTCATTTATTTTTCTATAATATAACAATATAATCATAGAATGTATTTTATCTATACATATTTTATTTCTATAATTATAATTTTTATAATTTTTTATTTATAATTTTATATAATTATTTATACTTTATATAATTATAAATAAATTATATTTATTTATAATTTATATAATTTTTTTGATTACTTATAATTTTTTCTATGGATATTTTATTTTTATTTCTATAAAAT